GCGTGACGGGATTTATTTGATTTTGGTAGTAAAAATGATTCACATCATTTCACGAGGAGAAATCGATCGTGGAATTCACTCAAAGTTTACAGTACGCGACATTTATAAAGGAAAAGTTTTTTCCGAAATTACATTTGCGATTTTTGAGCAAAATTTTTTTCTTCAAAGAAGATCTCAAATATATCTCTTACACTGAAATTCCTGTCGTGCGCTTCTAATTGAAAAAAAAATTGAACCATATTTTTCGCGCAAAAAAATTTGCTCAGGTTAACCCATCGAAATTTGCCTCTACCGAGCCGAAAATTTCCGAGAAAACGAAAAAAAATGCTGAAAATGGACCGAAAATTTTCTGGCCGGCGGCTACAGCAACTCGTGGACGAAGCCGCAGGGGAGCCTCTAAGAGGGGAAAGTCTAGGGAAAGGAAGTGATGAAAAAAGCGCGCGCCCGAGTGATCGATTTGGTATCAGACAGCAGACAAGAGCTGCAGAGAAGGCGATGCCTACGGCAGCGAGCGGAGAGGATCTGGGATGGCCGAGTACCGGAAAAAAAGTTGTGAGAATTTTCGCAATTTTCATGAAATATTTTTCCCCTTTAGGGAACGAGCCCAACACCTAGTAGTGCTCAAGAGGCAATAGCAGCAGTAAGAGTGGTTGACCGCGCTCGCCCTGGTGATCGATTTGGTTCAGTGGGACGCGTTCGCGGCACCGGATTTGGAGAAGACTGTTTCTAAATCGGCGGAGGAAAAGAAGGAATCTGCGACGAATGAGAGCAGGAAAGGAAGTGAGATGATTCAAATCGATCACGTGATCGATTATGTCTTGTGGAAATCTATTACAATCTCCAGGGTGTTTTATTTCCTCACCTGAGCTCAGAAGAGTTTCCTATACAGTGTTGGAGTAGGAATATATGTAATCGCTTTCCTCAGCTGCTGAGCTCAGGAGTTTCCTATACAGTGTTGGAGTAGGAATATATGTAATCGCTTTCCTCAGCTGCTGAGCTCAGGAGTTTCCTATACAGTGTTGGAGTAGGAATATATGTGATCGCTTTCCTCACCTGCTGAGCTCAGAAGAGTTTCCTATACAGTGTTGGAGTAGGAATATATGTAATCGCTTTCCTCACTTGCTGAGCTCAGGAGTTTCCTATACAGTGTTGGAGTAGGAATATATGTAATCGCTTTCCTCAGCTGCTGAGCTCAGGAGTTTCCTATACAGTGTTGGAGTAGGAATATATGTAATCGCTTTCCTCAGCTGCTGAGCTCAGGAGTTTCCTATACAGTGTTGGAGTAGGAATATATGTAATCGCTTTCCTCACCTGTTGAGCTCAGAAGAGTTTCCTATACAGTGTTGGAGTAGGAATATATGTAATCGCTTTCCTCACCTGTTGAGCTCAGAAGAGTTTCCTATACAGTGTTGGAGTAGGAATATATGTAATCGCTTTCCTCAGCTGCTGAGCTCAGAAGAGTTTCCTATACAGTGTTGGAGTAGGAATATATGTGATCGCTTTCCTCACCTGCTGAGCTCAGAAGAGTTTCCTATACAGTGTTGGAGTAGGAATATATGTAATCGCTTTCCTCAGCTGCTGAGCTCAGAAGAGTTTCCTATACAGTGTTGGAGTAGGAATATATGTAATCGCTTTCCTCACCTGCTGAGCTCAGAAGAGTTTCCTATACAGTGTTGAAGTAGGAATATATGTAATCGCTTTCCTCAGCTGCTGAGCTCAGGAGTTTCCTATACAGTGTTGGAGTAGGAATATATGTAATCGCTTTCCTCAGCTGCCGAGCTCAGGAGTTTCCTATACAGTGTTGGAGTAGGAATATATGTAATCGCTTTCCTCACCTGCTGAGCTCAGGAGTTTCCTATACAGTGTTGAAGTAGGAATATATGTAATCGCTTTCCTCACTTGCTGAGCTCAGGAGGGTTTCCTATACAGTGTTGAAGTAGGAATATATGTAATCGCTTTCCTCACTTGCTGAGCTCAGGAGGGTTTCCGCAGTGATTATAGAAGTTCACATACAAATCCTGGCAGAAAACATGTACAAAAACCAAAGAGAATCTCCGCAAAATTCGTGTATATTTTCCCACACTTTTTCGAAGAGTGCAATCATATCAGGTATTGCGACTTCACCAGCGCAGGGCGTCTGGGGCGTCGTAGATCCAGAGGTGACGAACGACTCGCCGGCCCTTCCAACTTTACCGATTCCGCGCAAGCAAGATTCATCAAGTTCGAGGGAAAATTCGATAGTCGCTGCTGCGGCAGAAAATGGTAAGTTCCGCGATAGCTCAGTTGATGCTTTGTGAAATTGAATATCCCCGGGTGAAGGTTTGTGCGCCTCGAGCGCATCTGTTGATGCCATTGCCGATTTGAAATCACAAAAATCTGATAATCATGTTCGTGGCAACCAAATATGAATGCACGCGTGCGTCGAGCACTACGGAGAGGAGGTAGGCCCTACTCAGTAGGGCATATCGGAAAGCCGCAGGGAAGTCGATCATCTTCTCGAGCACAAGTTTTGTCTTGTCCCCCTTCCGCACGGGCGAGTTTGGACAATAAGCCAACTAGAAATAATAGGAAATCGGGAATCCAAGAATTTTAGCTTCCTCACAGACTTGAAAAAAGCCCAGCACTGTCGATGAGAATGTTGGGAGAGAACAGGTTTTAGTTGTTATTGCTCTATTGGGAGTAGTAACAGCATCACGTTCTGGTTGGTGCTCCGTGAATGCCGCAATACTGATGCACTCCGTAAAGTAACATATTTTCGCCAGAAAAAAAACCAAAGTGAACTCTACAGCGGTCTAGTAAGAGGAGATTCCTTCCACTGGACGCAAGTTAGTTTCTAGGGGGGCATGAAACTAGTCGGAAATTTTCCGATTATG